GTCTTCTAGTATAAGTTTTAGATGGACTAAGAGCTATAAGGTAGAGCCAAGGAAAGGTTAGTAAGAGTAGTAGGATAAGGATCTGATCCTCTTTATTATTGAAGGTCGTAACTATTCAAAGATGATCTATTGGTTCAATCCGATTTTCGAATAAGGGTAGCGACGTAATGAAAAAAATGCTCAGGCAATAGGCAAGCAGGTTTTGAGCGCTAAAGAGTGTGTGCTCAGATCAATTTAAAACTTTAAAATCTATCAGTTTTCCTTATCTTTCAAATTGGTTTATCTTTTATGGTCAACTTTCTTTTCTCTTCAAGTATTCCCCATTCTGGGGTTCAATTTCCTTCATTTTGTACCACTTCTACTCTCCCCCCTCATTTTATTTTTCTTGACATCTCATCTTTTACTAAAGGATCTTCAACTTGCTCTTCTTTCATTGGGATCAAGCTATTTTCATTCATTATTCTTGCTCAAGATCCATCTCTCACCTAAGAGTTAGATTCTTCTGATGAGGGGAGTTTCGATGAAGGTCAAGAAAAAATGAGTACCTTGACAAAAAAAAGTAATGGTGAGGGTAAGAGTTCTACAAAGTAGGATGAATTCACTAAGGTCCCTATATATGTTTCATGTGACATCGACGTAATTTTCAAGGACGTGATGAGTGAGCTAAAGGGCAAAACAAATCTCGATGACTATCCCAACATGTGCTCAACTTATCACATTCAAGCTCTGGGTACCACTTTTTTTTTCAAATAGGGGTACAGTATAATTACATCAAACTCTTTAGATCGGGTCACTAATAAACTAGAGCCACATCAGCTATATGCATATTGAAATTCATTTATGGTCGGTCTAAGGTTTCCATTTCATCCTTTATTCATTTTAAATTTTAATTCTTACAATTTAATTATTACTCAGCTCACCCAAAATTCTATTTAGTAGATAGTCTCTTTTATTATTCTTTGTCAATTTAAATAAAACTAAATTAACATTCTAAGGGAAATAATTCTTCATACTCTGCCTAGATGTTAGAGAGTCATCAATAATTATCATTTATGAAGAACGTTATTTTCATTTTAAGAAATGCTACGGCAAATCTTAGGTGAAAATAGTTATTTGTAAATTCTACCTAGACGTTGGAGAATTTTAAAATAATTCTTAAAATTTAAAAATTTCCTTGATATTCCTAAATAACGAATTTTAATAAAATTATTTTCTTTTTCAAAAAAAATATTATTAAATTTCAAATCGAAACCCTTTTATCTAACACCAAAAATAATGTATGATTAAGATACCAATTTTCAAAGGTATCATGGGAGTGCTAATCCTTCTCCACACAAAATCGAATCCTGAACCTAATTTTGTTTTTGTATACCAAAATTATCTTTTTGATAAATTTTAAATTCGTTTTACTACTTTATTAAAAAGATAAATTTTTAGGTAGTCAATTATATTATAAAAATATTGGTGATGACTTTCTCATTTTTTATTATTTTAAAATTAAATGTCTAGTAATCCTAAAACTGTTATGACACTTGGCAATCATTGTACAAAAAAGAAATCATGACAAGTCTTTCCAAAGTCGACAACTTTTATCATCCATTGAACCTAAAAAATTCATAGTTCTTGTATTTGAACCATTAATGGTCTAGCTAACAACTTTCATGGTACTTTTAGCTTCATGCCCACCATTTTGCTGCTTTATGTAATCAATAAGCACCTAAAAATAGAACACCTTGTAAAAATTAAATTCAAATGACAAACAAAATACTAATCAAAGTTTTAATTAATTTCTGTTTGATATGAACATGACATGATTGGTGAAGCCTTTCTAGACATTCATGATTTTTGGAAACCAGCACCAACTTTCTTACTTTTTTGGAATTCTACCTTTTTGATATGAACTTAAAATGATTGGTGAAGTCTTTCAACCTCTATGCTTGTTTTTTGGGTATGGTACTGTAGATACCTATTTTGTTCGAAAAGTCAGATGTAATGTCGAGATAAATTTAAATTAATTTTTGATTTGATTGAGTTTTTAATTGAAATTTTTTTTTTGGATTATTTCTATGCTAGGTCATTTTAGATATTCTTTTGGTTATTATTATTATTATTATTATTGATTAATCTTACAAAATAAATAAAAAATTCGATTTCAACTCTGGCAGCTGAAATCAAGCAACTAGAATGGTTTTTTTTTCTTTCATCTCCTAAAACCTATCACAAACTTAATTTTGCAGCACAAATTAAAAAGGCCATAAAAGTTTTCTTGAATCCCAGATATTTAGGATTTAAAGTCTAAATTAGGGTTGGCAACGGATCGGGTTGGGGCAGGTTTTTGCTCGCCTCAAACCTAATCCGACTTTATAATAAAAAATTTGAACCCGTCCCAAATTTTTTTTTTATTTTTTCATACCCAAACCCGACCTGACAAATATTGTATAAATCGTACCCGATCCGACCTAAAATTAATAAAATATGATTTTTTAAAATATAAATATATAATTATATAAATATATAAAATATATAAATAAAAATTAAATAATTAATTAAAAAATAATTTTTATATAATATCGGGTCGGGTCGGTCGGGTTTGTCTAAAACTTGAACCCAACCCGACCCGACGTCTATGTTTTCTTAATAATACCCTACTCGTCCCGACCTGAAATTCGATTTTAAAAAAAATGAAAGATTCTGTGAGGTCGGGTCGGATCGAAATCCACGGAGAACGGGTTGGGCTGCCAACACTAGTCTAAATTGGATTTATAAAAGCCAAGCAATTTAAGACACAGGGAACGAATGAGGAGAACATGGCAAAAAAAAAAACATAAGGAGCATTTTATTTAAGAAATTTTCACAGTAAATTTTTTGATAAGGGCGATTTTGCCAAACCTTAAAAAAAAAAAAAAAACCACCCACGTCGTGCTTCACCCCTACCTCTACCCAGCACTAGCATCATTATCCTTGCACACCTTCATCTGAGCCTCTACCTAGTGCCGAATACACTGGACCTACCCAAAACCCATTCAACCAAAGCAAAAAAAAATTAAAAAAAAAAACACAAGCTAAAAAAATCACAGTCCTTTTTGAATTGAGGAACTAGTAGCAAAAACGAAAAAAAAATTGATAAAAAAATAAAACTAGAGATCATGATCTAGTAAATTTGGGAATTTTTTTTTTCTTTTTGGAATATGGGTTAAGAAAGGTTTTTAGGAGGCTATAAGAATTACTTTGTGAATTTTTTGGATTTTTTTAAGTTGATCAAAATCTGAAAAAGATGAATTTTTTTACGGTCATTTGAGTTTTCCAACCATCGGATATTGGGAATTAGGCTAGGATTTGAAATTTTTTGAATTTTTTAGCCATAGTGAAAGATTTCGGCCATCAATACATAATGGCAACTAGCCAAAATTTGAGTTTCACAACAACTGGTAAGGGAGGTGATTTTTTAAAGAGAGAGGCTTTGAAAAAAATTTAAGAAAAATAAAAGGGCTTTTTATAGGTCTATTAAAACAACGTCGTTTTGGAGTTATGACCAATGGAGCGACCCGCTGACTCGCACGCCAATTCGCGTGCTAACCCATCCCATAAGACTATTAACATAAGCCACTAGACGATTGTTTTCTCTCAATGTTGTGCCTAATTTGCAAGGAATTCATACTACGAAGAAACATAGGAAGAATGTAGTCCACCAAATATCAACCAAAATGATTAAAATTTAATTACTAAGTTCAGCAAAATAAGCTTAAAAATTAAAGGTATTCATGGATTATGATAGATCAGGTTTGGATCGAGCTCATACTTGGTATTAATAGCTTATATGCTTACTTAAGGCTGGTGTGGTTTGAAATTTTGGGCCTCAAAATTCATCAAAATCTAACTCTTTAGCCTCCACCATATGTTATTCACCAAATTAGTGATCTAATTATTCACTTGATTATTCATTTAAAATAGAGGTTAGGACTTGCATGTGACTTCAGGTTATGCATGCATGCGTGATGTTTAGATTTACTTTATTCCAATTTTTTTTTTTTTGGCTTGAATTCAAACACTCATGGACATGAATTTAAAAAAATAAAAAAGCTTATTTGCCATATGAAAAATACACATTAGCTAAGAGGATAGAAAAGAAAAATTAATCAAAAAATTGAGTCACAAAATGGCGGATTTACAATAGGGGCAATGGGGTAGCTACCCCCACTAAGATCGTAATATCCTAGAAATTATTACAAAAATCCTTAAAAATTGTAATTCTTATAAAATTTACCCCATTAAAAATGAAAAAATTAAAATATATAAGACACTTTTATAAATGTTTGAAAGAGCAAAACTATAATTGCAATGTAAATGACTTATTTTACAAAAATAATAGAGTCACGTGTATAAATATAAATTAAATAAACATTTATAAATAATTTTTTATTCAAGGATCAGCATTTTATTTAAAAACAATAAAAGTAAAATAAAAAGTGATTTTCTTTCTACAGTAGATAAATAATAGAACTAGAGAAATAACAAGAGGACAAAAAAAAAAAGCCAATAAACCAAAGAAACAAATTGAGTGAACATTTTTTTTCTTCCATCAATATATTTAAGTAACTAATTACTTTTTTTTTTGGATTTTTTCTTTGTATTTATTATCATTTGTTAATGTGATAGAATATTTGTTTACTATATAAATTCTTTTTTATATTAGTAAAATAATTTGATTTGGTGCTTAATTTATAATTTATTTATATTATAAATGAATTAAGATCAAAGAATGTTGTACTTTCTTAAGTTGATTAATGAAATAATTTAATTTCTACGAAATTATTTTTTATATATAAAATGATATTATTTAATTAAAATTCAAAATACATACCAAAATATGCATGTTGATTTTGTTTGCATAATTACATTACAATATCTAATACAAACTACAACATTATCTTCTTATTTATTAGAAATTACATAAACTAAATTATCTAATTTAATTAGATTTAAAGAAATATCTTATTAAAAGAAAGTCAATTATGAAGTAATCATTTGAAATCAAATAATAGTAACACACAATATTTTAAAAAACAAGTTCATGTTTAATTAGATCTAAATGATTTTCATTGAATCCAAAGTTATGAAAAAAGATTTTAGACTATTATCCCAATAAAAGAAATAATATTTGAAAAGTTTGTTTTCTCAATAAGAAAGCCATAAAAAATAATTATAATGTGTTATCTTTGTGTATAAACAAAATAATTTTTTATGTGTTTGAGTTAATTTATTTTTTTATATTTAATATCATCTATATTAATTGTCCCCACGAAACATAAATTTTGAATCCGTTCCTAAAATCACATATAAAAAGTTGTTCATCATTTTCTTTTTCCACCTTTCCAATCAACAAAGTGAAAACACGACTAAGTCATAATCATTTTGCCTAAGGAAGTCTAATCGACTTTGAAAATGAATTTATTGTATGTGGTATTGTTTGTGGATATGTTTCTATAGGCATTTGCAAGGATAATGATGCTTATGTATATTAGAATAAACCAAAAAAACATTTTGTAGGCATCCAATTTAAACACGTCACATAAAATACTTTTAAATGCCTATAACTAGTATCTTACACCTTGAATACCAAATTAAATCTTATAATAATCCTATTATCTCTAATTAACGCAATTATAAATTAATAATTAATGAATTAAAAGAATACAAATCTTGCAGTAAAACCAAAACAAAGAAGATGCTTATGGCCTTTTGCCTTTTGCCTTTTGCTTTCATTTTTATTTTTTAAAGATAAATAAAAAGAACAAATTGCTATCAAGTTTCGGTAGATGGAAGAAAAATTAAAAAGACTCAACGTCCCATAAGACTGTTACCATAAGCCACCAGATGATTGTTTTCTCCCGATGTTGCGCCTAATTTGCAAGGAATTCATATTACGAAGAAACATGGGAAGAATGTAGTCCACCGCATATTAACCAAAATGACTAAAATTCAATTGCTAAGTTCAGCAAAATAGGCTTGAAAATTAAAGGTATTTATTGCCGGGGTTGATCGGGTTTGAATTAAGCTAATAATTGATATTAATAGCTTATATATTTATTTAGAGTTGATTTGAACTAAAATTTTGGATTTTAAAATTTTTTTATGTCTAACCTAATTTAAAAAAATAAATTTCAAACTTACCTATTAAACTTAATTTATATAATAAAAAATTAAAAAATATGATTAAAGATTATATTCAATTCACATTATATATAAATTAAAAATAAAATTTAAGTTTAATCATATATATTTTATTTTTATTTTTTTTATATATGTGAATTAATTTATATATAATTCACATATATATATTATATATATATGTGAATTATTATCGGATTATGTCGGACTCAACTTTTAAATCTTTTGTCCAAGGTTCAACTTGAAATTTAAACATGTCTAAAAATTGTGCCAAAATCAATTTAACGGATTTTAATTTTTTGTTCAAATCATCTCAAATTTTGGGCGAGCTTTCAAGTTTGGACAATTAATCCAACCCTCGAACAGGTTTACTTGAAATAATAAAGAAAAATATTTGAATTAGATATTTGAAATAACAAAATAAGTTGTTTTTATTTTATTTTTTGTATTGATTTACAAAGTCTTAATATTTGAATTATATATGGTTAGAAAGTTGTTTAAGTCTACTATCTAATAAACCAAACAAAATTAAAATCTACATTTTCTAAGAAAAATTATTGAATTTTTACTAAAACTATACAGATTGTCTAATAACTGCAAAATGAGTAGTTTTGAAAATTCGTTATAATTTTTATATATTGAATCAAATGTTAAATTTTATATTTATAGAAATCTCCTTAAGTTTAATTTTTAAATATTCAAATGGATTATGATATGGATTTGTATAAGTTAAAATATGATCAAATTATTAAGTAGAATGCGTAATAGTATTTAAAGCAGTCAATTGTTCTATTTACCAAAACCACTCCGAATACAAGACCAATATGACTGATTGATTTCCTATGAAAATAGATTTGTTCCCTAACCCCTAATCTCAGACAATCTCAAATGACTATTTTTTAAGAGATTAATGTCTCATTTTTTCTCTAACTCAATCCAAACAACAACAAATCATTTTTCTCTATATAAAGAGATCTTCAAGCACCAATGAAAAAGAGAAAAATAAAGGAGAAAGTTTTTAGAACTATATCTTTAAATCTACCAAGAAAATTAAAGAGCTTAAATTCTCAATCTTTGTATTCAAAAATCATTTTGTATATTTCTAGTCTCTCATTTGTGCTTTAATTAGGCAAACACTCAACTTTGTAAAATATCTTTAGTTTACAAAATATTAGAGTTTAATTATAATTAAGAGGTGATATATACTTTTGAATAATTTTAAAAGTTTTTGTAAAAACTCATTTTAAGTGATTAGAAATTGTTACCTTAGCCTAAAAAGATAAAGAATTAGAGGTTACAATCTTAATATAGAAAGATAAGGAGCGAGAGGTTGTACTTTAGTCTTAGAAGATAGTTTATAAGAATTTTTATGAATGTAAGTGCCTTTGAAAAATGATTGAATCTTCATAAATTTTAATATTTAATCTCTTTACTTTATTATTTTATTTTTATTGTTGTTTATTTATATTTTAATTTCATATATCTTTTATATTTTAATTTTTAATTTATATTTGATTAAAATTTATTTTTGAAAAAAAAATTTATAGATAATCTAATTCACCCCTTTTGGATGGTTATTTACATTTGAATTAACACCTACATTTCAATATTAAAATAATTCAAAAAAAGAACAACCGCAGCAACAAGCAAAATGTGACACTAGTGTATTTATATTATTAATTATTAAAGTTAGAATGAAATATAAAGTATTTTTTTATCAATTTTTTTGATGATAATAACAAATACATTGTACCCGAGCATATTCTTTTTATTCATACATCCTAAGAGTTTGTTGATAAAATGTTAATATCGCAGAAAATTTCTCTCAGCGTTCACATGCAAAAGTTTGGCCCCAGTCTCCTTGCGGCCCAAAATAATTAAATATAAAGGAGAGATAATAATAGAAAATTATATTAATATTCATGATTGATACGACGTCGTTAGTTCCTTCGTGTCCGTATTAAAAGCATTCACTTCACTCGTTAAGAGTTGCTCCGATGATGTCAATAAAGTCGTTATCGATCCCTCAGACTCTCACCTTTAAAAGGTAAAAAACATTTGATTACTGTTTTCATTTCTTCAAGCATTCTACTCTTTGTTTTTCAATTAAGTCCTTCATATTACAGCTCTTCAGTTAATGAAACTGCAAGAAAATCTACATGGGCACCCCTCAAATCCATAAAATTTCAAAGTGACCCTTCAAGGATCAAAGATTTCTCAGCAAGGTCTAGTTTGAGCTCTGAGAATGGTGGACTCAAACGGTTCCCAAATGGGGTTGGTGAAAAAGATGGAGTCATCATCGTGGACCATGGTTCACGCCGTCGAGAATCCAATCTCTTGCTGGGTAAGCTTTTTGTTTAAACTGATAAATAATTCATTAGTCTATCTCTTTTTGAGTTTATTATTATTATTTTTAATGAGTTTCAGATGAGTTTGTACCCATGTTTAGAGAAAAAAACTGGGTACCCGGTTTTTGAGCCTGCTCATATGGTAAATCATTCTTCAGTTTTAACTATGAATTCTAAAGGAATTTCCTTTTTCATAGTTTTCTGATAGAACTAGAAGGCAATTTTGATAACCAAGTTTTTGGCTTTGAAGTTGTCTTTTTTATTTGGTTCACTGCTTTTAGCAACATTGGGCTGTAATTGGTGTTTTTAAGGCGGATGTCATGTTTTTATGCGTTCTAAGATGCTATAGTTTTATATATGGGGCACTGAATTCTTACATTTTCAGTTAATGTAACTAGGAGTTGGCAGAGCCATCGATAAGAGATGCATTTGGTTTGTGTGTTCAACAAGGGGCTGTTCGCGTGATTGTGAGCCCGTTCTTTCTCTTCCCTGGAAGACATTGGTACCAGGTAGTTCATTATATCTGCATCTGGTAACTTGGCAAAGAAAAAAATGTGGTGTTTAAAGAATTTTGGTTAATTCCATTTTTGCTGTATGTTACTATGTTCTTTCATAGGATATCCCATTGTTAACTGCTGATGCTGCAAAGTATCACCCGGGTGTATTGTATATAATAACTGCGCCACTTGGACTGCACAAGCTGCTTGTGGTATGAAGTCCTCATTGGTCACCTACCATCGCCGTTGTATGATTTTTGTATTGTTTTCTCCTGCTACGTTTCCAAATGGTCCTTAATTTTACAGTTAGCATGAGTAATAAGGTTTTGAAACAAAGTAGCATGTAAAAGTCATTGTCAAGTACAGGAATGTTGTGAAACTTTCTTTATTATTGCTCAAACAATGTATCATATCAAATAACTGCACCACTTGGCCCGCCTGAGCTGGTTGTGGTATGAACTCTTTTGTTTTCCTCATTGGTCACTGTAGACTTTGTATTTTTTTTTTTTTATAGTTTTCTTCTGCTATGTTTCCAGACACTCCTTAATTTTACCTTTAACTTGAGAAATAAGGTTTTGAATCTGCAAGACATTGTCAAGTACCAGGTTTTTGTGAAACTTTCTTCGTTATTGTGCAAATATCAATAAGTGAATTGATCTTTCTTATCTTGTATCTTGTTTTTCGGTTTTTCTTGATCTACTAATGAATATAATTGTTCTAAATGGTTTTCCTTTCCTCTTATGTTACTTTTACCTGACTGTGAGTGTCCTCTTTCTTCTTTTTTGGTTTTCTATATTGCAGGATGTTGTGAATGATAGGATAAAACACTGCTTGAACCATGTAGCAGGAGATGCAGATGAGTTTGCAGCTTGTGCCGGAACAAGCAGATGCAAGCTCTACTGATTCATGGAAGTAAAAATTAAGTTTTTGGGATTGAACATTGGGAGGGTTCCCATTTTAGTGAAAGTCGAGGTCTTAGCTATGAAAAACACAACAGCTAATGCAGTTGTTGCATGGTAATTTTTTCTTTTCCGATCTTTCTGCATGTTCTAGACCTAATATGATTTGTAAGATCTGATAGTGCACATATTAGGTTTCACTGTTGGAATAAAACTTCAATCTTTTTCTCTTTTCATCAATGATGATGTATTGTTTCTAATGAACTGCTATTTAAAGGAATAAACTTCCAAGATAATAGGCTGAGCAATGTTTTATTCTTTACAAAGAACTCTAGATTGGTATCATGTGGCTATATTGATGACAGCATCTGAAACAAGAGAAGAAGAAAAGATAAGAAACCTATTTATCAGCATTGTACTAAATTCTAGATTCATTGCACCAATGGAAGCATCATAATCTCTCTTCAGATCATCTTTTATGGGCACTTAATTTATAGGCCTCATTTGGCATTAGAGTATACTCATTACCCTAAACAAAGATAAGAAACCTATCAAACTATAAAGCAAACTGCATTAAATCCAAACCATTAAGATAAGAAATAGAAAAAACTTGCAAATTTTGGAATTTGTGAGGAACTTACCTTTTGGCAAGCAATATCAGGGTGATACTTCTTTGGCAGCCTCCTATAAGCCTCTTTAGTTTCTTGCTTATTAGAATCAACAGAAACTCATCATAGTAATTTTTCTTTGATATTGTTTTTTCTCCTACTTTTTGCCTACAACAGCTAATCTCGGTCCATTTCTACCACCACCTGGAAAAAATAAAAAACAAAAATCAATCATAAACATTTTTTTGACAATTTATAAAATATTTGGAAGATTTGCATGGAACTACCTTGGATTTGACTTGGTTGAATTGAAATTACCATAAGTATTAGTAGAAGATTTTGGGACTGAGAATTTGTAAATTGGAATTACATTGGACTTTTTAGGCTGTAATGAACGAATGCATACTAAAGATTTCATAAACAAATTCGGTTTATATTTGTTTATTAAGTTTAACAAATAATAATAAATAATGTTTTAAAATTTGTTAATTAAAAGAATAAATGATGAACAAAGTAAAGTTTATTCAAATTCGGAATATAAATAAATAGATTGTTTGACAAACAAACCAACTCTATTTTTATCCATTTATATTTGTTTATTAGACCTAACAAATTATAAAGAACAACATTTCAAGACTTTTAATCTAGAGATTTTTTCAACTGAAAAAGAGGATGCCTCACCTATAATTTTTTTTTCAATCAAATAATTATTCAATCATAATAAAAAATTATGTAAGAGTCTATTAGTTATAAGTGTGGATTTCACATAAAATTTTGATGTTTTTCATATAATTGTGAATTGTGATTAGGGATAGTAAAATTATTCAAAACCATCATGTTCAAACTTAATTTTATATGATTAATTTTTTTTAAATTTGAGTTTCATGTTAAATCAAATTAAATTATTTTTTAAAAATTAAGGTCAGAGTTGGATTTTAGATAAATTTATTCAACCTCGATCAAGTGAATTTATATAAAAAAATATTTTTTATTATTTATTTAATTTTATAGTTATTTATTATATTAATAAAATTATTATTTAATATTTTAATTTTAATTATTAATTTATTAAAAATATAATTTATATTAAAAATAATGTTTTATAAATATTATTTTAAATTAAAACGATTAAATTAATTTTAAATCCAATAAAATGAATTACAATTTTATATATATGTCCGGATCCAACCTATTACCACCATCTCTGATTAAGATCGGTTAATTCGATAGAGAGGATGTTCTTTTAACGGCTTTCGCTTTTAATCCAACAACCAATTCCAACTAAACACGTCAGCAATTCGTGACAGGAGGAGTAAAATATGCCTGACCATGTGGAATTCTTCCCTACGACGTCGTTCGGTACTGTTATTACTCCTTAGACGTTAAGCGGCGATTAAGAAGAGAAAATTGCAGCGGTGAAGAAGATGGCATGGACAGCCAAATTTCTGCTTCCGATTAGACAATCATTTTCTCAATCCCGGCAACTATGTAAGTATTAAACTAAATTTTTTTTCTTTTTTTCTTATATTTTAAAATTTTTAAAAATATCCTTTCTGTTTTCTTTTCCTTTCCAGCAGTTCATGGAATAATCGGACCTTTGAAAACATGGGTACAGAGTATTGAACCCAAACTGCAAAAAAGAGCCTCAAAATTTGAGTATAAGCTCAATATACAGAGAAAATATGTTCAAGACTTTTGCTTATCAGGCAAGTTTTGTTTTTTTAAATGACTTTTCTCTGCTTTTGTAGTTGCCTTTTTATGTAAATTCTGCATTTTTAATTCATTTTGGCAAAATTTGACTGTTACCCATTTAACTAAACTTGCAGCTTCTCTTGATTATTGATTTTGTGAATACCCTTTTTTTTATATATAAAATTTCAGTGTTTTCTGGATTATTTTCTCTCTGATTTTATGTTATTTGTAATTTTTGAACTGGTGTGTAGATAAAAGATTGTCCCTTGTTGAAAGGAATTGTTTTCTGAGTTCAACCGGGTTGATGAAACACTTTATGGAATTTGAAACTCATGATTTGATGCCATTTCCATGGAAGTAACTACTTTTGCACTCATTAGTATGATTGAATTGCTTGTACCATGAGTTTCTCTTTTCAAAAATTGCTAGCGCGTGTTATTTTTTTAAACTAGTAATCTTGTCATGTTTTCTTTGTATTAGCAATCTTCCTAAAGCTCCATTTTTAAGTATAGTAGAAGGCTCGTCACTATTTTCTTTTTTTCATTGTGGCATTGTTTATCATTCTAATACTTGGTTTGTCGTTTGTTCATGAATCATGATGACATTTGGTTCCCACTGCTGAGAAACCTTCTTGATATTCCAATTTTTCCAGGAAGTAGAAATGTGAGAAGCATTTTTGGTGTACCAGTTGTGGTTGGAGCCGTCTACTGTTGGCCTCGTTTTACACATGCCATGGATGGTGAGTGGATTGCCTGATATAATAGACTTATATTACCATGCCTGCAAAGTATTACTTTTAGTTATGCATACCTAATTCCTTGTATCCTTTTATTTTTGTTCTAACAACCTGCATGTTTTGAATTACAATGATGTAGGTCTTGATATTTTTGTGGATGATTATAATTTAGAGTCACTTGATGCTTCAGAAGAAGTAGATGATCGACACAAACTCTGGTTGCTAATGAGGAAACTGTGGCTGCCCGTTTTTTTCTTATTTACTGTCTTGGTGAACTGGGATAATCCCTTCGCAGTTGCAACTAGAATCCTTGTTTTCCTCCTCAGCACCAAACCAAGCCCTTCATCAATTTATCTTTTTGTTGAAAGGGTCAGGAAACTTTTCTTTCACTTGGCTGCTTGCGTTTAACACTTGACAATTAAGCCTAAACCTATCAGGAGCTTTAATTCATTAAGCTTAAAGAGTACTGCATTGTAAGCTCACAGCTGGGGATAATTGAAACACAATCTGCATCCTGGTGTCCGCCTGCCTGGCTTCACAGGCTGAAGATGGAAATTGGATTTATAAATCATTTATATGCTTATTTTGACCATAATGTGAAAGCGAAAATTTTAGTTCTTCTTAACTAATAGTTAATTTTGTCTATATATTGATAAAGATGTGTAATATTTATCATCATCAATATCAGTCCCTATCTCCTTCAAATTTTCAATGAGTTGTTACACCTGTAAGGATGATAATATTAGTGATTGACCAAAGGGCAATAACAACCAATAGGATTAACATTCTGGCCAATAAATCAGGCATGACTCGAAATTGAGTGGATGGATCCTTTGTTGAAAGGAAAGCCTACTCCATCCAAGCATTTTATAACTCTGTTTGATACCCAAGGTTGTAGTCCTTCTTGAAGTAGGAGCTTGAAAGCAGGAGGTGCCTCCTTGTTAGAGATGATTGCGGCTTCTTGAATTTCATTGACCTGGGATCACATTAGAACTCTGATATGATTGTTCTTGTCCTTATTTCTAGTTATAAATGTTGGAATTCACCTTCAAAGTTGCAGCCTGGTTAAGTGTCTCATTTATAAAATATTTGCTTTGCATGCTTTTGACTGCAGTTTCAATTTTGCAGCTACGTCATGGATATATGCGCCAAAACCCTCATTTCTACAGATTTAATGTATGTTCTTATTCTTATCACTTTATTTCTTTTAATGCTTGTTGAAGGACACTAGTTTGAGGTTTAATTATTTTTCCATTCAGTTTATTGTTTTTTGATCTGCTTAAATTTTTTGCCAGTTATCATCTCATTTACATCATTAGCAAGCCAAAACTAAAGTTACCCTGCTAACAACCATTCTGCTTGTAGCTTCACTTGGATGGACTTTATTGACCTCACAAGGATAACATTTCCCCCCAACTCCTATAGGCATGTGAACAAAGGAATTTTATGGACATAAGATAATTTATCTATGATAAGAGGAATATCCACTCAATGAGCATCTAATCTAGAATCTGTTCCCGGTATAATACACTGGATTTATCTCTTTAGCTGCTTGTGTTTAATGTAAACTACTTTATCATGCAGTCACTGCATGCCAGCAAAGTTGAAGTCCAGGATTATAAGCTTCTCTGCCTTGCTAAAGTTGAAATTGGGGACCAGAAGTTACGCCTGATTGGAATTCTTGGTAGTTGGTGGTCATTGCCATCATCATTGGGTATATATTTCCTTGCTCAGGAGCAGCACTCTAGTTCATCACAGTGATAACAAGGTAAATTTGGCTTCAAATGGAAGTAGCTACTAGTTAAGGTAGAGGTCAAAACGTTTAGCTTCAATTCAAGCACTGTTGTTTATCAAAAAGCGTTCTTTTCCCTGCTTTCCTTGCTTACTATCTATTTGAACAACTCTTTGCCCTCCATATTGTTAGTATCTCCCTTTCCATGTTTTCATTCCTTAAAATATGTGTTGTTTGCACTGCAATATGTGACAAAAGATTGCCATTTAATAATATCTAATGGTGAAAATATGCAAACATGTATCCTTACCTCAATGATTGACAGATAACATTCCTTTGCATTAGCCATTACGTCTAATTTGATGAGGGAATCCTATTGCTGTTGGTCAACTGAAAATACTGAACAATCATTAAAACTTGATGCTCAATCATAGTGTGTTTCTTTGGAGGATCTGCAAATGTTCTTTCGTGTATTTGATGGCTGTGAACCAGACTAGATTGCACTTTTATAGTTCCATACAGTATTTTCTGCTTGAAAGATTTTCTTTTTCTCTGTAAATGCAGAGGTAAGACTATATAAAACTAAGCATCACTTTCCCAGAGGTAAAGATCGTTTACACGCAATTCGCTGGGAGGCTATGGGAAGCTAAATTCCCATGAATTCGCTAGGCCCAGCATAAATAAACTTGTTTGGACCAACTCAGGGAGGGGATGTACTCGGCAAAGCCTAGGAACCCTTAACTGCTTAATAAAAAAAAGATCGTTTACATCTATAGACAACAATCATTTTTGTGAAAAAGGGCTTGGTTGGTCTGTGTGTATCTTTTGATCTTTTTCATACACCTATATAAACTCGAGTGGTGCCATCCCTCTTCCAATGATATTGTCACCAGTTTTAAGAAACATGCAACCTGTTTTGTTTTTTCAATTTTTGGTCTCATGTGTCTGAAACCGGTATTCATTTTCTTGTAACTATCATTTGCATGTCTTGCTTCTCTTCTTCCTCAACAGATCTTATACCAGCAGGTGATGATTTTCATCAGCTGAACTTTCATTGAACGTATAAGGATCGCAAAATATGCCTTCCCATTGAGGAAAGTAGCTTAAGGAGACTGAAAGAATGGAAACAATCATATAAGCCCCATGAGAGAAATGCTTGTTTGAGTCGAAAATTTATCCCCTGAGAACAAAAGCCCCAGCGTCCCTCCAGTTCCTGAGAATGTATGATAGGTTTAAAGTTTAAAACATGCGATGATGTGACTGCCCCTAGCATTCCTCAAGAAAACCACACTCATTAGCATGGTCAGACATTTATTAAGTTTAGCATTTTCGTTAATCCTAAACATAGATAATAAGTAGGAAATGAATGTTTTTATGTACATATGTTGCTGGATGTGAAATGGAGACAACAAAATGCCACGTGGCAAGTACATGACCATGTCACATTAATTATTTAATTTTGAACCACCATCTGTTTGATTTGCTCTAAAAATCCAAAGGATGAGCATCAAATATAGCCCAATCTTTCACGCGATACAATCAATTGACTAAAAGTAAGATGAATTGGAACTATATATGGAAACTCATGTTTTGGCATTGAAAATATAATAAAAAAATAGACCAAAACAGAAAAAAAAAAAAAAAATCATTAAGCAAATGGGTCCCCAAGCAACGACCCCGGACTTACTCTTAGCTTTTGGAATTGTCAAACGATATGGGACCCACCACCCCAACTTACTCTTAGCTTTTGGAATTGTCAAAGTATTTTGTTGAGTGTGACAAGAAATCCCAAAAAATTATATAAAAAAATGAAAGCTAGAAGGCAAAGTTATGGTCTCGCAAGCTGCAAATTATCCGATACATTGTTGTAGCATAGATATTTTCACTGATTTCTCCATGTTTTTCTCTTACTATGATTTTCTTACAAACAACATGAAAAATAAACAAAAAAAACCAAAAATCAAGAATTCAATTTGGAAAAAGCTTTGCCATTAAACGGATAAAGCTGAAGATTTACTGTTTTTGCCATCAAATCTACAACTAGAAATTATATTTAACCTCTAACTGAACCTTCTTTAGACTCTAGAAATTATTTTATTTGTGAACTCTCAGCTGATTGCAATTTCAATGCTACTATGAGAAATCAACTGTTACATTGCTGTTTTATACCCCAAAAAGAATTAAAATTATGCCACCTGACCTTCCAAAATCTTTGCAAGATGAATCCTAGGGATTCAAAATCTTCGCTACAAAGATGATTTTTCTCAAAATATCATGGTTATTAATTGTAGAATCTGTTACAGATTCTTCAACCTTATAAGTAGGGGAAATAATGTCAGATAATACATATAATCTTTTCTATTCACTATTTGTATACATGACACATACTCTCTAATTCTTGGGCAGAGAAAAGTGTTTCGTTTTGAGCCTTTTAACTCTACTGTTGGTTCAGAATTGTAGGGTGAATTACAAAAAATAGCTAACCTGTTGTATCCTGAAGAAGACAGGCTTTGAAAGCCTGCTGCATTGGTTGATATCATGTGAGATATCTGTGCCTCAGTCTAATTCTTCGTATCATAATTGCAATCAATTAACATTCCTATTGTCTATAACTTTTTATACTAATTTTTTTGTTAATTTTAGTTTACAGAAACAGCATATGCCTTTGAATTACTGAAAAACTTGGTTTGCGCTCACTTCTGTAATGTTGTTGGATTCTTGAATCCCATCAGAACTGCGAGTCTTAGAAGACTCGGATGGAGTACGGGCATCCTGAATTTTTCTCACTGCATTTGCTATAAAACTGTCTGTGCTGCAAGACCTTGAGGAACCTGCTGAATCTAGCACACTAGCATTTAAGAAAGGAGGCTGGTTAGGTATAGGAATTTCACAATCTTTATCAGTTAGCATCTGAACTACTTGTTCCATTGATGGCCTTAAGGGAACTGAAGCTTGTGTGCACAATAGCGCAATTTGAAGCACATTGGGGGCCTCTCTTTCTGAAATTTCATCTCTTATGCGAAGGTCAACAGCTTCAGCCAATGTATTTGATCTGTGATGTCTCCAAACCTGAGGTTGAAAATCTCAAATTTAGAATTCTCATTTCATTTCCAAGTGATTTTAAGAGCAAGAGCAGTTGTGATATGCTCATTCATGTTTCAAAATCTGAAATTTTTTTGAACAAAGATTTGGGAGCTTACTGTTTGTAAGAGGGAACCAGAGTCCTTTGTGAAGGTGTTACTCTTTTTACCACATACAATCTCAATAACTAGTACCCCAAAGCTGTAAACATCTGCTTTTTCAGTAAGTTGTCCTCGAACAAGGTACTCAGGCGCCATGTATCCGCTGCACGAAAATTTCATATGAAATTCTTAGGAAACTTTAATAGAAATCCTAATGTGTTGCAATCTATTGGATCCTTCACTAAATGCATATTGTCTTTCATGTACTAAATGCTCATGCTTTGAACCAATGTGATACTGATGAAATATATTTGATTATATCAGATAATCTTTTGTAAACTTACAGTGTTCCGGCAATCCCAGTGCTAAGATGACTCTTATCAGCAGCTAAACATCGAACGAGTCCAAAATCAGCAATCTTTGGATTGAGATTCTCATCTAAAAGAACATTGCTGCTTTTAATGTCCCTGTGGATTATCCTTATTTCAGACCCTCCTCCATGGAGATGTGCTAGACCCTCAGCTGTTCCAACAATGATGTCAAACCGCTGCTTCCACTTTAAAAGTTTTGCTTTCTCCTCATCTGCATTGACAGTAAAATCATCAACACCTTTGAAGTAGGCACAAGAATTTAGTTGTTCCCCGCCATTTTCAACATGCTTTCATATTTGTATTGGCTGCAGAGAGCAGAATGAAAGCCAATAAAAAATTTTAAGCTATTGAAACTATCTCTTAGGCTGGCAGGTATCAGGTATGTCTTGAAATCTTGATGCAAAGTAGGATCACTTGAGTTGCAAAACTTTGTTTATGTTAATTTGACAGTGCTTTAAATCCCTCAACCCTTAGAAGGGAGAGATCTATCTAATTACGTTCAATAATGGACAAAGGCATATTGAATCATGTAAAGAGCAAAGAATTACCAAAAATGAACTGATCGAGGCTCTTGTTAGGTACATACTCGTAAACCAGGAGACTCTCAGGGCCCTCAATGCTACAACCAAGAAGCTGCACCATATTCTTGTGTTGAATTCTGCTGATCAAATTTACCTCATTAAAAAACTCATCTACCCATTGCCTGGTATTATATACCAATCTCTTTACTGCTACAGTCTTTCCATTTGGAAGAATCCCCATGAATACTGAGCCAGCTCCTCCTTGGCCTAGTTTCCTTGAAAGACTAAAATAATCTGTTGCCTTCTCAAGAGTTTCATACTTGAACTTCAAATGTGAATTTTGGAACCTTTCCGAAATATGGCCGAGATTTTTGAGCTCTAGGAAATGCAATTGATGGTTATTTGAGATCAATGAAAAGCATTAATATAATTTTCAGTGCACATTGTGAAGATTACTCAGAGATTGTACCTTTTTTCCTCTTTGATAATCTTGCATATGTAGCATAAGCTGCTAAAAGAGAGAGCATCAGGAATGCAAATGTTGCTGAGACAATTGTTATAATGACTGCAGTTCCAGAAAACCCTGGAAAATAGAAAAGACATTCAATTCAACCAGGAGAGAGGACAGAGAAGACAAAGGGAAAATGAAATTTAAAATTCATTAAAAAAAATGAATTGCAGAATCTACTCTGGAGCAGCCAAAGAGGGAACAATGAAACCTTTTTCAAATCTGAAACTTGTTGGAAAATAATTTAGACTTTTGAATCTTGATATGAATCGCACAAGATTGAAGAAGATTATCACTCAATTCATGTTGAAATTTATCAATCTTTTTACTAAATCAAACAAACCCTTAATTTTCCTTTATAGATTTTAAATTCAAGATCATCAAACTAGCAGAATATTTTTGAAAATACGGAAAAAAATCAAAACAATCACATTAAGCACACTACATTTCAACATAAATTCAATCCATGTTCACATTAAGAACAAGCATAGAAACAAATTATGACAACCTCAGAATCTTCAGAGTGACAAGACTTACCTTGACCATGATCTGTCTGTGCCCCATCATTATAAAACTTCTGGGTCGAGTACCTCAAATAACACCCAGTGTTCAACCCTCTCCCTTCCTCCTTTGGCACGCAGCCTCTCACCTCCTTTGCCGCCTTCTGCAGGCACTCACTGCACCCTTGAGCCGGAACACTCTTCCAACACTGTGCCAATGCATACACTCCATCCACCTCCACCAATCCAAATCCTCCATTTCTCAAAGCAATCCTAGTCACATTCCCAACTGCATAATCAACGTTCCTGCCAAACAAACTCAGCCTATTGTTATGATCTTCACCAGACACTGTTACGTTATTAGAGCTGCAATTAACATTATCCACACTAGATGAAACAGACTCTTGAAAAAAGTTGTAATCATCATAACGCATGAAGCAGCCATCGAGAAAGATTCGAGCTGAGACAAAAGAAAGGCAACGTGGGATTCTAGTCCTTGCGGCAGCATAACAAGAAAGGCAATCATTTTGTGAGAGGTCTTCATGGCACTGAACTAACGCATACATTGGAGGTGTAGAGTTGAGTTGGTAAGAAGCAAAATGGTTATTGTTGATCGCTTCTGACAAGCCTTGCATCAGTGTAGCAAAGATTGGAACAAAGTTGGTTGGTGACGAGGAAGTGCCACAGAAAAGGCCAGCGTTTGTGATTCTTGGATCACAGAACGAGCTAGAGAAAAACAAAGAAAAAACTAACAACAAAACCCATCTCCAGCATGATTGTTTAAAGGCTGAAAACTGCATAGAATTCATCTTTACCTCTCACTCTTTCTGATTTTTCTGTTCTTCTTTTATGGGTGTTTAACTTAATTGTTCAGGAATATGAAAAGAATATTGACAAATTAGGCTGTTGCTGTTCCATCGGTATCATCATTTGTGGTTGGGGTTAGTGTGTTGATAAATTGACTTATATTATTCTGATTAACAAAGTCCGCCATGGCCAAACCCTGTCCACACTACAATCTTTGGAGCGATGATTCAAATCCAGTTCTTTTCATTGAAAATGCACGTAACAACTGTTGGATTAAGAATTAAAATATAACTTAATTGGAACTTATATAGAATGAAATGATATACGAAAATTTGCACCATTAAATGATTTTTTTTTTCATTCTAATATTAAGGCAGATCTAAATTTTAAAATAAAATATTCGACCAATGATGGACAATGAAGTTTCCTTCACGTTTTCTTATCTTTAGGCAGAATAAACGATAGTCCATTAAGACAAAGGGTAATGTTGATTTTACATTTTATGTTTCCTTTGCTGCTATTGGTGGAAGGACTTGGAAGTCGGAAAGAATGAAAGAGGAAGAAGACTATCCAAATTTAGAAGGATCCCAACATTTCTGTTTTTAGGTATTAGGTAAAAAATTTTAATTAATTAAATATTTATAAATAATTTAATATAATTCAATTTCATATATTTACGTTTACAGATAAAAAAATTCGTTAATTATAAAAAATTATAAACAAATAAAAATAATCAATATTTACTCATAATTAATATCTATAAATTTTTTTTACCTTATAAAATATTCTTAATTTAAATAAATACATATCAATATAGTTTATCATACCTACATAAAGCTTTTTATTTTCTTTTAGTTCATTCAAACATACTTAACCAATAAAAACTTTAACTATTTATAAACCAACTAATTTATTTATCAAAAGCTTCTTCTTTCTTAATTTTTTTTTTTTATAAATTTTCTTATCCATTATATAATATGTAATCAATTTCAAAAAATTAAATATTGTCCTCACAAAACAAGACCCATAAGTGAAAAAGACAATGTTTTAGGTACAGAAAAAGAGAAGCAAACACATTCATCGTATGTATGGGATATAAGGATGGTAATGGCTCGAGATAGATTTTATTCATTTCGAATTTGATTTATTTTTTAATTTTTTATATTTAAATTTGAATTAATTTGATATTGTATAAAATTATATTCAATCCGATTCAATGTTAAATTAATAAAATATTATTTTTAAAATATAAAATATTATTTTTAATATAAATATAAAATTAAATAAATATAAAAAATATATAAATATAAAATTAAATAATATATATATATATATACACCAATTGAATCAGATTGAATTTATCTAAAATTTAACTTTAATCCAATTTCGATTTTATTATACTATTATCTATTGATTTAATTCAAAACTAATTTCTAAAACAAATTATTGTTAAAAATTCAAATCAAAATTTGTCGAAAATAAATTTAGTTGTCATCCCTACGTTTGTATACAAAGTCAAATCCTGTTTTTAGAATTTCATAAATTTCCAAATTTTAACGAAACATTTTTCACGACAAATCCACCGTCCTGTTCTCCACGGTGATTTAATATACTTTGAATAGTCGGTGGAAATCCCTTTTCATCTTTTCCTTCACCACGTCATTTTGATATTTTTTTTGTTAGAAACGTGCTGATCTAAATAGTGAGCATATCAATGGAAATTTTTTCATTAATTATTTTCTTCTAGAAAATCATGTAAACAGTTCCGTTTGAAATATAGGTCAATTTGATTCGAATGAATCTTATTAAAATTAATATTTAAATTTAATTAATAATAATTAATAAACCTTTTCATTTTTTAAAATTTTATAAAGTTTTTTTAACCTAAATAAATACCTGTTCATATGATTTATTATACTTTTCTTCACCACTTCATTTTAAAAAATATTTTTTGTTGGAAACGTGTGATCCAAATAATGGGCATTTTAATGGAAATTTTTTTCATTAATTATTTTTTTTTGTAAAAAAATTTAAAATAGATAAATTATTTAATCTTTTAAATTAAAATAATATCTAATAATTTAATATAAATAATTATAAATTATGTATTTAAAATAACTCCAATAAATAATTAATAATAAAATTTGAACCCAATATACTATAATTATTTTATTCTTAAAAATCATGCAAACTGGTCGGTTTGACATCTGGGTCTATTTGATTTATTCTGTCAAGGCCTACAAAATACTATAATTAATTATCTAGGTTTAGACTAACAATCTTATCTTTTTACATTCTTCATTTCAAATTGTTTGGATTATATTACTTTCATGAAATTAAAAAAATATATCTGATTTTAATGTATTTAACATTAAAATTAAAATTTTATTATTTTTAATATAAAAAGGTTAAAAAATAATCATAAAAAATAATTTTAAAATATAAAAAAGTAAAAATTTTAGATGTTAAAAAATATATATATAATTTTGAGACATTTAAAAACAGTTAGAATTTTTTTTTCAATAAAATGGTTTTCTTGATAATGCCAATTGCCAAATCAAAAAACATTTAATCGACAAATGGAATAAATCAAGTCTTCATGGGTCCAAATTAACAAGATTAAAATGATTTAGATTTCGTTTTTATCTTATTTTTATTATAATTATCAATTCTCCCCAACAGATTTTTCAAAAAATTGGTTCGGGACAAGCTATTTTATTATATTTTATTATATATATTATTATTTATAAAAAAATTAATATATTTTATTTAAAAAAATTATATTTTTATTAAAAAATCTATATTTTTATAATAATTTTGTTTTTAAAATTTTAATTTTAATAATATGAGTAGTAAATATATACATTATGATATTTTAAAAAACTTAAATCTATGATGTATAGATTAGGATTATTAATTTGGTCCATGAATTAATTGATTATTACTCATCAAATAAATTAAGATTATTAATCATCAAACAAATTATAAAAAATATTTGTTAATCCTCGTAACATATTGCTTCAAATTAATATTTCAGATCATTCATTTGTGTAAAATTTTTCTTAATCATTTAACTAAAAACCTGTTTGTGGAAAAAAAATTAATAATTCCTATGTTATAAAGATAATTTAGTCAATAGAGCAATATGTCTTCCCAAAAAACGTCACAAACTTGAATTTAAACTAACCATTATAAAATTATTAACAAAATAAATCCTGACATAAATAAAAACAATGAACATATTATATTTAAAATATATATTATATATTTAATTGATTTATGCGACACAGAATAATATCATTTTGTTAGAATTAAAAATGCATACAAATTTATTGTATATAAAAAAATTATAAAAATAGAAAATTTTGCCATCTAAACAACTGAAATTTTTAAATGACTCTAAATATATTTTAAATTTAAAAAATCAAGATAATAATTAATAGCTAAAAAAAATAAAGATAATAATTAAAAAGAAAACGGTTCATTTTACTCTGTGAGAACCCCTTTACATCTTTTCTTCACCACGTCAGTTTGATTTTTTCTTTTTTTGTTGTTGTCGTTGATCGATTCCAATGGTTCATTAATTATTCTCTTCTAGAAAATCACGTAAACAGTTCGATGTGGCAGCTGGGTCTGTTTGATTTGTTCAGCCAATGCCTACAAAATAATATAATTAATTATCCAGATTTATACTAATAATTTTATCCATTTACTGTCTCCTTTCTAAATTATTTAAATGATATTGGCTTTATTTAAGAAAATTTTTTTATTTTAATATATTTAATATTAGAATTAAAATTTTGTAATTTTTAATGTGAAAAAAAATCATAAGAAATAATTTTAAAATATAAAAAATAATAATTTTAAAATATCTCAAACAAAATGAGACAGAGTAAAATTTTTTTAATAAAAGGGTTTTATTGAAAATGCCAATTGCCAAATCAAAAAACATTTAATTGATAAAAAGAAAAATCAAGTCTTCATAGGTCCAAATTAACAAGATTAAAACGATTTAGATTTCATTTTTATTATACTTTTATTATAATTTTAATAATAAATGATAAATTATATTTAAAAATATAATAACAAATGATAAATTTAAACTATTTGAAGAGAAATCAAATCTAAAATGCTGAAATAATTCAATAAATAACGAAATTAATTTAATTTGGTTCATTATCGATGATACAATAAGTCAAAAACCAAAATATAAGGTATAATTAACTACAAGGAATTAGTTCGTAAAGGAGAAAAAAATTTTATTAATTTGATATAATTTTTGTGAAAATTATTTTAAAATTAAAATTTTAAATACATCAAATTTATATAAAAAAATACACTTTTTAAAATTGTTTTAAAAAATAAACTCAAATAAAACCTAACTCTATGTATTGTGAAATTAAAAAAAATAGTTGAACGAATATAATAATGAACCGACACTTGTAGTATTAATTATCACAATTATTTATAATCTATATTCATTTTCGATTCACATATAGATATTTGTTTTGTTTTATTTTTTTAATTTTAAGATAAATATATTATTTAATTTTTTAAATCAAAATAAATATATTATATTTAATAATATTAAAAAAATAATTATAAATAATATATTCAAGATGATTTCAAATAAATAATTATTAATTAAATTTAAATATAAAATCTTTATATCAAGAATGATAATTTTTTATCGATTGAATCAATTATTTTTTAATTTTTAATTTTTGTTGTGTTTTTTCTTATTGAATTGGCGGTCGAAACACGTAGAAAAGAGACTTTTGACGGTCCAAATCTGACTTCTTCCTCGGCCCGCCATCGAAAATGGTCTGTCCACATCTACCAAAATCAACAGCGACCATTTCCGTTTATTTTACTCCATCTTTCAATTTTTGACTTTTCAATGCTCATAAGTCACGGATG